AGCTTTTAAACACTTAGCTTCCTAGAGATATGACATCGTCTAAAGGAATGTAGCACAATCTAACATTGAAATTCGTGAACTATGACAAGCTAGTAGTTTGTACAATGTCCAACAGATGTCAAGTTTCTCCGTTTCTCTCAAAAATTTTCAATGTCCCGTGGTGCTCCTTGTGAATTTGCTGTGAGGTCTCACTTCCAGACCACCTCTGTGCAGTTTAAGGCAAAGGGATCAGGATGATGAAACCCTAGACACGTTGAAATTAACTGAAGTAAAGGTGTTTATAATAGCCTAACATCCGGGCTCTGTATAGCTATGATTCAGTCCGAAAGTCCAGCACTCAAGAGCTTGTATATTTCTCCTTGGACACTTGAGATAATGTCCTCAAAGGCATTTGGAAAATTCTGATGGGCTGCAACAAGGGTAGTCACGGCACTGACTGGTGAAAGAGCCGTCCAGTGGAACACAAGCTCCAAGTGTCCAGAGAGCTTTGTATTCTCAATACCTAGGAGAGTGCATGGGATATGATGGGGGCCTTAACGAATATTTAAATTAGTGAATGAAAGAAAAGAAGATTCATCGACATTTTGAACTCTCGGTGTTTTAATAGAATTGTAGGGTTGGAGTCGGGCCTGGTTAGTACTTGGTTGGGAGAATTGTAGAGTCGGCTTGGGTTTCATGCTTTTCTCTCTTCTCTAAATGTGGTCAGTGGCCCTCCAAATAAATGAAAATTCAGAGTGCAGTTATAGGTTATATGAGGTCTATCCAGAAAAGGCCAAGCCATTGTTAATACAGTAAGAATGGTTTGCTTGACGCTGATGAAACCTGGCAGTCAAGGGGAGGGGACTGGAATACGCATGTGTGAACATTGACTACTTCACTGTACTAGTCAGGGGGCGCGGTAAACGCTGTTCAGTGAGCATGTGTACTGTAGCCGTCACATTCAAAATGAGAGAGTAGAACAATGAATCTGCATCAGATTTTGTGTTAAGCTTGAACATTCCTCCATGGAAACAATTTTGATGATTCAGAAGGATGCAGCTGTGGGCAACTGGTGATTGGCAGCTCCATCATGACAACACGACTGCTCATGCATCATGTCTCACGCAATTTTTTGGTAAAACATCAAATCACCCAGGTGACTCAGCCCCACTACAGCCCATATTTGGTGCCCTGTGACTTCTGGCTTTTCCCCAAACTAAAATCACTGTTGAAAGGGAAGAGATATCAGACCCTCTATGAGATTCAGGAAAATATGACAGGGCAGCTAATGGCTGGGAGAGCTGTCTGAAGTCCCAAGGTACCTACTGTGAAGGGGACTGAGGCATCATTGTCCTATGTACAATGTTTCTTGTATCTTATATCTTCTTCAATAAATGTCTCTATTTTTCATAGTACCAGTCTGGATACCTTCTGGACAGACCTCGTACATATAAAAGGGCCTAGTATATACAGACACTCAGTAAATGGTTAATTTAATGTTTTATAGGGAGGCAAAGTTTGGTGGTGGAATGAATATAAAATTTAGAGTAGGACTAATCTGTATTTGAACTGACTTTTGAATTTGAATGGACAACCACCAAATTTCTCTGGGTCTCAGTTTTTTCATATGTAATATGGGAATAAACATCTTATAGTATATAGGGTTGTTACACGGATTTAATGAGAAAATGTATGTAAAGCACTTAACACAATGCCTGGAACAAGTATAGGCAAGAGCTATTATCCTAGTAGGTAATTTTCTCTTTACTTGGCTTATCTCATTCCCCTGAAGGCAAGGTGCAGGACATATGTGTAGACTGTACCTTATATACACTAAGCACATGCTACCTCAGGACCTTTGCACTGGCCTGGGATGTCTTCCAATAAATGTCCACTTCCTTCCAGTAAGTCTGCTCAAATTCACCTTCTTAATGAGGCCTACACAGAAGGCCCTACTTATAATTGCACACCTCCATCTCCCTTAACCTGCTCAGATTTTTCCCCTAATAAACACCTTATACCTTTTAACATACTGCTTTTGGTGTCCTTTATTTTCATTCTGCCCTCACAAGAATATAAACTACAGGAACAGGGATTTTTATTTGTTTTTTTCACCAATGCCACAATGTCTAGATCAGTGCCTAATATCCATTAGGCACTCAATGTTTGTAAAAATTGAATTGAGTTGAATATATTCTTACTGAATTTTCTACTTTTTAGTTTGGGCCCATTAGTTAGTTTGTGAGCATGGTTGTGAGAAATGATTACCTGCTTTTATCCTGAATCTCTAAGCACAGCCGCATCATCCATATTCCATGCAAGCCGCCCGCATGACAGAGAGCTCAGGCACCCAGGCCAGTCCCATCGCTGGCCGTGTGAGCCTCGGCAGCTTCCTCAGCCACTCTGTGTCTCTGCTGCATCATCTGTAAGTGGGGATAAAAGCCATCTCTACTCCATAAAAATCTTTTGAAGATTCAATGAATTAATGTGCATGAAGGGCCTACAACAGTAGCTGGCACACATTCAATAAATATTAGTTATCATGATTCTATTTACAGACAAGTCCAGGATCCTCTCCCTTTTAGTCTTGCTCTGCATCTCTATTCTCCCCTGCTTGGCTGCTCACCCTCCCTCGACTGACCCTTTCTGTTATCTCCCACTTCTTCCCCATCACATCTGAAATGGATGAAGTCTCCTGAGGTTTAACTCTATTTCCTCCACTGATTTTTCTTAAAGCATTTGCCATTACATCCCAGCTACTTTTAAAAGCCCCAATTAACTCACTGATTAACATGTGCCACTATAGCTTTCATATTTTAACAATGTGATTCTAAGAGAAATCCCAAAGGGAACAACCAGGGAAAATTTCTCTCTAATTGCTTTACTTGAGCTTAATCTAGAACTAGAGTCAAACCTTGGTTCTTGACCGTCTTGCTTCTCAAACAATTTGGTTCTCAACCCAGTTGTTCATGGAAAAAATATCTCATTTGTCTAACAAAACTTCGGGTCTCGATTCTCTACCTGACAACCCTTTCATGCTGACACCTGTACCTGAGAATCACGTGTCTCTCAGGTGCTAAACAAAGGAGATTTGGTTTTCAAACAAATCACTTCTCAGTTTTCCAGTAAGAATTAAATTCAAGAACTGAGGTTCCATTGTATTTTAATATTATCACGGATCACCAACAACTTACTCAATCTCATTTAATTTTTTTTTCAGGTGTGGTCTCTTTAACATCTTGAGTTGTACTAGTTTAAAGAGAAAATAATTCAGGTCTTCTAAAACAATTTTTTTTCTTGAAACTAATTTAGAAATTTCATAATATGTATATGCTTCCTGAGCTTCCTTCTGAGGCCAGAGGAGAAGAAAATAATCCACTTCCCTGGAACAGCTATACTATCTTCCCTTGGGCTGTGAAGTTTGCTCTACCTCATGCCACCAGTCTGAGAAAAAGGAGGCTACCAGAGAACTTGGCTAATGGTGGAGAGGTAAAAAGTCCAAAGGATTAAATTCCCAGCTCCCAAAATAACCCCTGAGTACGGCTGCCACCTCCAAATCAGGCCCTGCACGCTCCTTCATGCTGGCTGAGTGCCACTCTCTGGCTCCATCCCAGGAAGCCCCGCGGAGCTGTAGATGACCCTCTATCTCCACAGAAAAGCACCCTAGAGAGATTGGGGAGTCCAATGAATTAAAGGTGAATGGGAGAGGCGCATTTGTCTCTTCTTACAGTATTATCATTCTTTCCTTAATGTCCTCTCTTCTATCTTCTCCTCCACCTGCCTCTAGTTTCCTGGAAGCCCGCAGGACAGTGTTTCACAAAACTCAATCATATGAGTACCACTGTCATGCTATCTCTCCCCCACGCTCAAATTGCACCTGTACTGTTTCTTTAAATTAGCTCACTTTTCACTTAAATTTTTAAAGACTACTTATTATGTGCTTTAAATTTAAAACCAGTTTCACTTACAATAAAAAGAATACATATAATTACGACAAAAAATGTATAGTAATGGAATTTTAGTTGGATAGGGTTACTTGCTGCAAGCTTTTTGCCTGAGTCCTGGTCTGTTAGGTTAAGGAAAGGTGGAGGAGTGTTGAAGACATGTCAGCATCAAAGTGAGACTTGCTCCTTGAAATAGACTTGCCGGAGTGTCCGACCTGAGGACTGCTGGCCCCATGCAGCCCAGGATGGCTGTGAATGTGTCCCAACACAAAATCGTAAATTTACCTAAAACATTATGAGATTTTATTTTTTTGTGATTACATGTCGCAATGTATTTAACATGTGGTCCCAAAACAACACCACTTCTTCTAACATGGCCAAGAGAATCCTAAAGGTTGGACACCCCTGAAAATAGAGAATGGAAAAAAGACCGAAAAGAAAGCAGCTTTCTCATCTTATGTTTAAATACCGTATGTGCATATAACTTAAGCATTTCCCACTTTGGGATATGTTGCTCTGAGTTTTAGACTTAAAAAAGGTAAATAAGTTTGTTGAACTCTGAAAGGCCCCATCCAGCCCATTTCCTTCAAGCACTTAGTACACTACTAACTATACTCAAAGATTTCTTGCACATATTTTTTCTCATTATTTGCGCACAGCTTTGACCAACTACCACAGACAATATTTCGGATATAAGACTCTCCAGTACGTTACAAAACTTGGCCAGTGAGCAGGTGTTTGGATACCATCAAGCCCAAATGTTGACCCATCTCCACTTTCCTGAAAAGAGATTTGGGATTCCAAGCGGAGGGCGATTTGCCCAAGGTCACGTAGAGGGCGGTCTAACTTTTGCGTTCAAGCAGGCGGGAGAACCAGCTATCTCCTCCCCCCAGAAGGCTGAAAAAGGGTTACCCGGCTGGCGCAGAGCCCAAGTCCCACCTCCTTGTTGATCGCAGTTGTCATGGCAGCGGCTTATTGTCCCCGCCTCGTCTTTGTGACGCAATGAAACCAGCGTCCAGTGGGAAATCAGCTCTGCATCACGCACCGCCTTTCCTCACTGGCACCGCCCTCGTGGCTAAGAGAAGAGGGAGGACTGTGCGAGGTCGGCGGGTCTCCAGCAGCGGCTGCGGCGAGTTACACCGTTTTCCAATCTGTCCGCGTCCGCCGCCGCCTGAGACAGAGCCAGGATGTTCAGGATGCTGAACAACGGTTTTGAGGATGATCCATTCTTCTCGTGAGTGTCAAGAGCCAGTAGCCCGCGATGGCGCGGGAATTTAGGGATTTTTCGAGGGGAGCTACTTTAAGGGGAAAGAGCGAGTTTTAGAGGGCGAGAGCTTATTCAGGGGGTTCCAGGAGCCAGTGAGGAAGAAGAGGGCTTAGAGAGTGAGAAGAGAAGGAGAAGAGGACTTAGGAATGTGTGAGAGAGGGGAGAGGAGGATTTGGGGGCGTAGAGCGAAGCAGGAGGGTTTGGGACCGTGAGGTGAAGTGAGAACGACTTGGGGGCGTGGGATGGGGAAGGACTTGGCGACCTGGGAGAGTGGGAGAGAGGAATTGGGGGGACGTGAGGTGAGGATAGGTCGGTGCAGTCCTCCCCTGCCCTGCCCCCACCCGAGCGGCCCTTGTTGGCCCCACCCAAGCTGCTCTCAACTTGGCCAGATTTCGCGTGCCCCCCCTTTGCTTTCCGCCTTCGGAGTGACGCCTTCGCAGCTGTAGGGACTTTGCAGGTGATCGTAACTGCCACCTCAGTGGAACTTCTGGTGAGAATTTTGCATGCTCTCAGGACCCTTTCCACACCTGTTTTAGTTCCAAATGACGGGTGAGGAATGTCCTATAAGATGACAGTTCTTTGTAAAGGGAAAAGTTTTTAAAACGGAGTTTTTAATAATGTAAGTCTTTATGCGAGCACAGTCGAGTTGGAGAACTGTGCGGTCTCTCGCCTCCAAGCGCTTGGAAGTTGCCATGTGCAATGTTTGTTTTCCTTTCTTGCTTTGTTACAAAGCTAGCCTTGTTTGGGAAGGGACTCTGCTTTGTGTCCCAAGTACAAATAAGGGTAGTGAAGCAGGGAGAAGGTGCATTTAAGACCTCAGGTAGCAAGTGCCAACCATGTGAACGGTTCCAAGTGAAAGGAATAATGCGATGCCTTAGGAAGATGACACCCAAAAGTTAGTTGGTTGTTTCGTTATGATCTAGATTTCTGGGTGTTTTATTTTTTCAATTCTTCCTTTGGCGATTATATAAAAGTAATAATCTAGTTTCATCTCTAAGACAGGAAGAGACAGGGTTCTTTTGCCCACATGTTTTGCCAGTTTGAATTTTGACTTGGTGTCCTAATTTAATTTGATCGCTTGAATTGTCTCTCTAGGCAATTTAAGGATCCTTTTTCTTTTTTTTAAAGGTTAAAATGTTAACAGTTTACTGCAAAGAGTTTTTTAAAGGAAAATACTGACTTAAATATGCCAGTACTATTTGAAAACCAAATAACATCAAGGTAATAATTGAAAGAATAATTAACAGTAGAATAGATAAAATTGTTAATAAGGAAGTTATTAATATTTTATTCTAAAGGTTATTCATTATAATTAAGGCGTATATGAACTCAGACAAATTGATCATGCTGTTCTAGTTCACTTGCTTACAAGTTGTTGGGACATTTACAAGAGTGTGTCATTTTAACAAATTTCAAATTTTGTATTATTGCTCTTTAAAAAGCCTCTGAGAGTAAGGACTAAATATATCCACAGATTACTTGAGCCGTAGAGGTGGTTCTCATGCGACTGTGACATCAGTACAATGGGTTAAGAAGATTATGACAGACAGTTTTTCTGTCGTATTATGTCCTTGATTATACCAAAAAGAGCAATGGCCTTAGTACCTTCTTTCAAATGTCTAGCAAAAGTGTAATTTAAACTCTTGGATGACTCTTTTTGAGCAAAGGCAATGAACCCAAGAGTCAGGGTCAGAAATAGTAACAGGCCACAAATAGTAGTCGTGCATCAAAGAACACTCTTCCCCTGTGCTTCACATGGGCAGGACCGTCAGCTCCATTGCAGGTCTTGCAGTCATCACTCTCTGTAGCTTTCTTCAAGTGTAGGAAGTGTACCATAAAAATTTAGGTTAAAATATTGTAATTAACTTTATAAAACTAGTTCGTGCTTAGAATTTCCTAGCTCTAACTGTTTAGGGAGTAAACGGATTTTGGAGAGGTTGGAGAAAAAAAGTGTGAGTTTATAGTTATTTCAAGTGATGTCATTTGACCTACCCCTTGTACCCTAACCTCAAAGAAAATGATTTTACATTACTTAATATAAATTCAACATAAGGAATTCATTCCGTCTCATCTAAACAATATCCCGATTGCTAACATTGTGTTAGGTCATTGGTTTAATGTCTGACATGTAGATAGTATTCAATAAATATTGTGTAATGATAATCTGGTTTCTTTTACTTTCTGTCTTGTAGTTAATCTGGTATTTGTTGCTGAAAGTAATTATTTCCATTCAACAGATGCCATTGTTGATATTGGTACTTTCTAATTCGAACACAACAATTTTCTAAATAATCCGTCAGTTCAGAATCAAGGATATCAATATAAATAATTCTTGATTACTTTAGTAAGTGTTCAAAAGTGAGAAGATGAAAAATATATACTTCTTGGATATAACATTAGAATTATTAAATAATTTGAGACTGCTAAAATGCTGTCATCAAATTGTCAAATGCTTAAAATATCTGAGTTAAAAAAACCCAAAATCTGTGGTTTTGAATTCAAATATATCCATTTTAAATGCCTACCTTCACATATTAGCATATAGTAAATATTTCATCAGAAGATTAAAGGGAAACTTTAAAAGTGATATTTTAAAGTTTTTTTAAAAAATATATTTGGGGCTTTTTTATATTGGCATCTTCTTATGTTTTAGAGCTGAAGTTATTTCAGTGAAAATTGACTTATAACATACCTTCATGTATACTATGTAAATAAATAATACTTGTAATTTGGTTAAAAACACAAAGGCAAAAAAAAAACCAACAAAAAACTGGTACTTCCTGGCATGCAGTTTTCAATCAAGAATACTACTTTCCCTTCCTGTTAGAAGTAAAAATATGTGTGTATTGGCAGGAAAATTAATTTAAGATGAAAATGATCTAGGTATTCTATATCCTAAAAGAGTTGATTATTTACTATAAAAGTTTACATATATCTAGTACAATCTAGAAATTTCTGCTTTGTACAGAAACATAAATCTTCTGAGCTATAGAAATGGATTCTGATCAGGCAAGTCCACAAAGAATACCCATGTTACCACTTAGAAGCTCTTAGACATTAAAGACTCAGAAGCAGGGTGACATACCTATCAGCCTTATTTTTAAACACAAATTGTTAGCATTTCCTTAGGGCACCCAACTCTCCATATGGGCACCACATGTGTCTTTGGTCAAAGAACTGCATGTATTCACAAGATGTTGCTTTTTCCTTCTCCTTGGCTTCCACAGAAGCTAAAACTTGTTTCTATAATTTCTATTTAATTTTTTTTTAATTTTACTTATTTTGCACTTTGGAGGTAATTGGAGAACACTACTTTTGACATATTCACTGAGTGAGTTGAAAGTAAATGCATTCCATGTACAAGAAAGGTATTGACTGATATTTTCTTGGTTAAGAATATTGTCATAGCAGGAAATAAGACATAATTACTCTATTAGATAAGCTTTTGTGAACAATGTTTGAAGTTACTCACATATTTATTTTCAGACATAATAGTTTCAGGTAGGGTCTTCATCAAGATGATATAGTTTGGTGCTAATTAGTATTCTAATTATAATTGTTTAATAAAAATAGCTTGAAAGTACTCAGCTAAAATTTAAAGTTTTGATTTTCAGGATCCCATTTTAGGCCAAGACCCCTAACAGCTACTGTGAGTTTTAGCACTTAAAAACTCATTCTCAGAAATATTTTTATATAGATATTTCTTATAAATGAACTTTGCGTATTTTGGGATATCGTATTTGATAGAATGAAGCACTATAAACCTTGAACTGAAAGAATTTCTAAGGTAGATTTGATTTGGGGCATTTTTTGGTTCATTGGGTAGTTAAGGAGCACAACACATTTATGATATAGTTCCTGGGCTAAGGAATGCCATTTGGTAGCGTCTAATCATATCATAATGCTTAGTTCTATCAATAAACATTATACATATCCACATAAAGGTAGGGCATACTTGTAGGATGGGAGGGGGCATAGTCCTTCCTACAGCTCACTTAGTATCAAAGGTTTATGCCAGACCACCATTTTAAGCCACGCTTCTAATCACTGGGAAAACAGAATTGCCTATAGCAATTAATTCATTCTTCAAGTATTACTTAGGTTTCTACTGTATGTTCAGCCCCCCGGACTCTCACATATATTTGTAGAAGTGATGACCCGTGCTCTCAGGATTTTCTTAGGAATCTTATGTGTGTTATTTCTAGCTTCAAAACCTGGATCACCTGAGTCATTTTCCTTATGGACCCATACACCTCATTGAACCTAGCGAGCATTTCTTTAAGATCAAGAGAACCACAACAATCGGCTGGCTAAGCTTTTGCTACACTATATATAATGGAAGGAAGGAATTTTCCCGGATGAATAGGACTGCCAGGTCATTCTGAGACCCTTGTGTAATAAATGATGTAATGGGTTTTACTTAGAAGCATAAACATCTATATTCTTGAACAGGCCAAATAAAATTGTAAGCTGTGCCCCCAAATTTATATGTGCATGTGGATACATACATACATATATTTATATTTGAGTGTAAAAAGCAGGGCTTATTCTGAAGTGGAACTATACGACCCCTTAAATTAAAAAAAACAAAACAAAACAAAAAACAAAAACAAAAAAAAACCTTTTATGTTGAAATTCCTAAGAGACCCAGAATCAATTTAAGAGTTAAAATTTTTTGTAAGAGGAGGGGGCAACAATGAATTTTTCCTAGCTTGTGATAGGTTAATAATATGGAGTGGAAAACCTCTAGGTAGTACCAAATATCATTATGTTTGGCTGTGGTTTGTGTTTGTGGTCTTGAAAAAGGTATAAAAGGCCATCATAATGGTATAAGTAAACTTTTCCTGAAAGAACAAAACAATTTACAAAAGAGAACAATATGAGTAGACAGAAATACATAAAAGATTAACTTCTCACCTGATAAACTCTGTATGAGGTTAAATTAAAAACATATTAAAACAACTGTT